TTCTAGGATACCAGAGGGGATGCTATTTAAATAAGTCTACAACATGATTTCTCCACCGAGGCCTTGTTGACATTTGGGGTGGGATAATTCTTTGCTACGGGGGCTGTCCCAGGCACTGGGGGGTGTTTAGCAGCATCCTTGGCCTCTACCCACAGATACCAGTAGCACCCTCTCGAAGTTGTGCAAAATTGCCTCTGTTTGAGAACCACTGATCTATATCAAGACCCTTTTTAAAGTCAGTTCCCACAGCTCAGGATGCCATTTTTGTTAAATGCAGACTGTCATGTTAAGGTAGTTTAGAATCATTCAGCTCTTTTGCTGAATGGGGAGGTGAGAGAGGCTAAGCTGCCCCTTCGGACCACCAACCTTGGAGCCTGAGTGGGCATCCACTCTGACCAGCTCTGTACCTGTCAGGACTTAGGGAGCAGGTCTTAGCGGCATTGTGCGGAGAGCTGACACAGGACATGGGGATGGTTGACCGAGGTGAGCCCTGCCCGCCTCCCCTGCACTCACCTCATCTGGCGGATGCCGGACTTTCTGCAGATACTTCTTCAGCACTTCTTCTGGGGTTTTACCTGCAGGGACAAGGTGATCAGTGGGCCACCGAGACTGAGACAAGCTGGATGGCAGAGAGGAGAGTTATCAACGAGGCTTAAAGCAGGAAAGGGGAGGAATTCATTATGCAATTGGATTTAAGATTTTGCCAGGGAACCAGGGAATAAAAGAGCCAGAGAGGTGGTCCGAGGAGGGGGGAGGTGCTCCCGCCTGCCTTTTCCTCCTGCAGCGATTTCCCTGACTGTTTGCAACAAGCCCACTTTTTAGCTGAGGAAGACTTGAGTGGGTTTCTGTTCCATATAATCAAAGAGGCTGGCCCTGCCCAAACGATGCGATAAGATAACCGAAATGAAAGCACTCTGTACACTCTTGGGCTTATCTCATTTATTTTACAATGTGCTAAGTACTGTCTCGATCTATAATGTGGCGTCCAAGTGATGTTATTTTCATGGGAAACCAGGAAGTTACAACCACAGCTTCAGGAGGACAGTCTCCCTTGGCTGTTGATGGTACTGTCATTGCCAGCAGGTGTAGCCCAGCGGCAGGGAAGGGCTGACGCTCTGGGAAGCGTCCTGACAGGTGCAGTGATCCTGGAATTTCTCCAGGGACTGGACTCCTCAGAGGCAGCCCAGCCTGGAGGCAGGGGATGGAATGATACGGCCTCACAAGGAGGCATAGAAAGAAGAAAGGGTCAGTGCCTCCTTGGGCGTCTCTGGTTACTTCTCTAAGCTTCTGTTTTTCACCTATAAAATGAGGAAGCACGATCGCACTTAAGTCAAAGAGTCGCTTTGACAATTAAATGAGCTAATGGACTTATTGCCCTTTAGCACATTGCCGGCTAAGGGTAGGGTACGTGCTATTAACAATATCAGGAAGAGCGGGAAAGTGCAAAATCCTGTCATTTCCTATCAGATGATGAGCAAGGCGTTCATTTCAGCAGAGGGGCTTTGATAGACTGGAAACGTAGGACCAGGGTTTGAGGAAGTGGATAGTGCAGCCGCCCAAAGCTGGACGCAGGCCCTCCCTTCCCACCGCCCAGCTTCTCTTGCAAGAATTAAGCTTCTGTTCATCGCGAGCCTGTTACTTGCCAGGCCCTGGGCTCAGTGCAATATACATAGGATCAAACTGAAACGTCACAACACATTGGCAAGGTGGGGGCTGAGGGGTGAAGGTCAAAACATTTAACTGCCAGTACCAGGGACCAGGAAGCCCAGCCACAGGGCCGAGGCAGGGTCCTTCGGCGCCAGGGCAGGCACAGGTTGACCCCTTAGTTGTGGGACTGTGAGAAGGGAGGAGGGAGCTTCTGAAGGAGCGTTCAAGTGCCCAGAGTGTCTGNATAGTTGGAATTCTCACTGTTTTTCACAGCCAGATGTTGTAAGGACTCCTCTTCCCAGCACCTGTACTCTGGGCTGAGGACTTTGGAGTGGGGCTGGGGTCCCTTTCTTCTCCAGGGGGAACCTCTGTGGCTGAGATATCCCTCCCTGTTTTCAACCACCAAACAGAGGTTTGGGACCAAATCCTTTCAGGTCTCCGCCCCTCCTACCAGTCTCGATGTGGCTTCTTTGTATCCTTTGTTATAAAACTTCTTTTCATCCAGACTTCACATTGTTCTTCAGGTTGATTGTTCTATAATTTAGTTGTAATTTTAATGTGTTCACAGAAGGAAGCAGGCATGAGGTTTATCTACTTGCCATGTTGGATCTCCTCTGTAGTTCTGTTTTTTAAAAGCCACCCAGTTCATGATATTTTGTTACTGCAGCCTGAATAGACTAAGACGAACATTTACCTGCAAACGTTTAAACCTAAAACAGTAACAGTCAGTGGCGGAGGCTGGGCTCACCTGAATACCAGGTGGGATGCTGTAGATGATACGGATGGTTTTACAGTCTGGGTGGCCAGGCAAGGAGTGGGGGATGAGGTGGTACTCCATCTTCCCTGGAGGCTGGGTGCCTGTCTTCACCCCATAAATGGTCTTACAGGTTGGACACTGCAAACTCCCATCCTGTGGAGACAAGGCCAGAACAATGGGCTTGGGGAAGAGTTTCAGTAACCCTAACCCCTAAAAGTGCCAGAGATAAAGGGCCAGGGGGATAAAATGCATCCACATGAGTAATGAGCCTTAGTCACCCACTGCCCACTTCCCGAGGCTGTTTCTGCTTTCTTCAAAGTAACAGAAGGTGCATTCCACAAAGAGCCCCATACTCCATGCTCAGGGACAGGTAGCAGAGACCCTGACTGTGAGAAGGAGAGCAGGCTTTGCACTGTGCCCTGGGGGAGCGGGAGATGGGTGACGCTGGGCGCAGTGATGTAAGGGATCCCGGTTTCACAGAGGGCCTGGTGAGGTGTTCCCTGGAGAGTAGGGAGGAGAGCCTCCCCAGGCTCACAGAAAGAAAGGGACTGAGGAGGGGAAAGGCATGAGTGCATAGGGAGCAATGTGTGTAAAAAAAAATGCTGCTGCACAGCTGGGACCAAAGCTTTCCAGGACACCCGCATCTCCTCGGGAAGGCAGGGATCCTCTGTGGAGCTATTTAGGGACATTTCAATNCTTTTATTTGGTGTGTGGAAGGTGTGCGGAAGAGGGGGTAGTCTTATACGGCGAGTATATAACAAACTCTGTATTTTGAGTGGAAATGTTAGGGGGTCATCTTATACGCCCAGTCGTCTTATACGCCGGCAAATACGGTATTTATCTGTTTATTGTCTTCCTTCTCCCGCGGGACTGAGGATTCCAGGGAGGAAGGACTGTGCCCATTTTGCTCACCACGGTTTCTCCAGCATCTAGAACAAGCCTGGCCCATAATCCACACCCAAAGTTTGTTAAGTAAAAGACAAAACAGAAGAAGGCAAGGAGGAGGGAAGACAGGGTGAACTAATAAATACTCACTAAAAGCAGCCTAGAACTTTTAGAAAAAGCTTCAGTGTGTGAAGGAAGGGACACATTTGTGTTTGCTCTCAGGAAAATTATTCAATTTGTTCCTTAGGACTGTCTTTCAAAGACTCAAAAGAGGAAAGGAATGCCCACAAAAATCAAAGCCAAGGAATAGCTATAAAATTACAAATGTAAATACCATCTGACAAAGAAATTCCACTTCTAGAAAATTATTCTACAGGTATACTCGCATGCCTACAAGGTTATTCATTCCAGCATTATTTGCTGTAGTGAAAGAGTGGAAACAATCCATATGCCCATCAAATGAAGACTGTTGTATATGAATTATGGTATCTTTATACAATGGGTTATTCCACAGAGCTAAGAAAGAATGAGGAAGCTTTCTCTATGCGGACATGCAAAGATCTACAGACTGTCTTGTTAATTGAAAAATGCAGAGTGCAGAACAATATGTCTAAGATGTCACACTTCATGTGACAACAGGAGGAGTGGATGCAATCTTTGCTGCTTATGCACAAAGAATCCTGGAAGGAGACAAAAGAAAGTAAGAACAATGGTGCAGAGTGGGGGAGGNTACTTGCCAGCTGTCATGAATGCATTCCAGGGCATCCCTGCTGGATCCTGGTTGCGAGTGTTTCCACCCCATTGTAAAGGTTAAGAAAACAGAGGTTCTCTGAGGTCACACACGTGAGAGTGACAAAGTTGGAATTTAAATCCAGTCTGTTTGGGTTCCAATGCCAAGGCGATCTTGCTAATGTATTTTGTTTGTGTCACACTTTGTATTTCTATAATTTTGCACGGCATTCTTATATTCCTCAAGGTGTCTCCCTCTGACCCAGACACAATTCACTTTGGTATGGTCATCAGAACAAGTGCAAGCTAGGCTGGCTTAGCAGATGCAGAAATTAAGGTGCACGGGGATAAGCCACGGGGGCGACCCTCAGGGGTGGAGGCAGAGCCAGAGCTGGGAGCTGAGTCCTGACTCTCAGCCCCCCAGAAGGTAAGGTGGCTGATACCTTTCTTGGCCTGTTTTTTGGTGGTCTTGCGGCTTGTGTTGGAAACCCCTGGGATGGATTTTATTTCGCTCTTGCTGACGGGGGGCGGGTGGAGGACCAGCTTCGGAGGCCTGGTGAGACACACAGGCAGGCCAGCTGCACTCATGAGGATACCAGTGATTCCTGGAAAGGGCAGAGTGTGAGTGGAGGAGGGCGGGACAGTCAGCTTCCCACCCACATCAGGCCCGTCCCTTCCATGAACCCACTCCCCTCCTCTCCAGCAGAGTTCTCGTAACTCATGGACTCTGTACTTACCCTCTACTCTTCCCAGAAATGGGTCGATTCACTCATCTTCAGCAGCACGCTTTGCTTTTAGCAATCAGGTCTCCCCAAACGCTTCCTGCTCTTCCGACCCCACTCCTAAAATCCCCTTTTGTTTTAACATCTGAATTCTCTCTCTTACAAATGCTTGCTACCTATTTTGTTGCTTTCATATTTCTACCAGAAGCGAGACCAGTCCAGGGCTTCTCTTACCTGCCAACGCAGGATTGACAGGACTAGACCCATTTAGGTTCTTCACTGGGACAGTGGGGACCCTGTGGAAAGAGCAGACATATTACGCTTTTGGCAAGTGAGACAAAATTCACCAGTGTTGAGATCCCCAAATTTCACCCACTGCAGGGTTTCCCCCTTTCTTATAGAAA